AAATCCAGGGATCCAATCACAATGGTTGTACTCTTCAAGTCACTTGTGTTGTCCCGTCTTGAGTACTGCTCAGTACTCACTTCCCCCTTCAGAGGAGGAGAGATTGCTGAAATAGAGGGAATACAGAGAACATATACGGCACGCATAGACGCGATAAAACACCTAAATTATTGGGATCATCTCAAAGCTCTCCAAATGTACTCGCTAAAAAAGACGACGAGAGATATATCAAATAATATTCACATGGAAAATACTGGAGGGCCAGGTCCCAAATCTACACAGTAAAATAACAACATACTGGAGTGAACGATATGGAAGAAAATGCAGAATAGAACCAGTGAAGAGCAGAGGTGCCATAGGCACAATCAGAGAACACTATAAACATCAGAAGTCCGCGGTTGTTCAACGTCCTCCCAGCGAGCTTAAGAAATATTGCCGGAACAACCGTGGACATCTTCAAGAGAAAACTAGATAGTTTTCTTCAAGGAGTGCCGGACCAACCGGGCTGTTGTGGATATGTGGGCGTGCGGGCCGTTCCAAGCAACAGCCTGGTGGACCAAATTCTCACAAGTGGCCGGACTTGGGGAGTAGAATAACTCCCAGAACCCCATCAAGCAGGCCGGCCGAGGTGCCCCACACAGTGTCGCTGCTGTGAGGCTCAGGCCGGCCGAGGTGCCCCACAGTGTCGCTGCTGTGAGGCTCAGGCCGGCCGAGGCGCCCCACACAGTGTCGCTGCTGTGAGGCTCAGGCCGGCCGAGGCTCCTGAAATGGGCGAGGTCTCAACTGTTCGCACACGGCCGAGGTCGGTCACCCCAACTTGATGACATCATCTACCAAGTTACGTCCCACCGCCCAATCACAGCCCGTCTTGTCCCACCGCCCAGTCACTACCCGTCTCGCCCATTGCTTACACTACCAGGCCAGTACACCTGTTGAGCCTCGTGGCCACATAAGACGTCACACCTCTACCAGGCAGCATTATGTTCCACCAAAATAATACTTTAAAATACACACATTAACACATTATTATTATTATTATAACACACATTATGACAATCATATTATGTTGGGAGTCTTAACCCAAATACATATTCCTTGATGGTCCTTCATGGTAGTTGTGGGTGAGTAATGTTGTGATGGTTGTGGGTGAGTAGTGTTGTCATGGTTGTGGGTGAGTAATGTTGTCATGGTTGTGGGTGAGTAAAGTTGTGATGGTTGTGGGTGAGTAATGTTGTGATGGTTGTGGGTGAGTAATGTTGTCATGGTTGTGGGTGAGTAATGTTGTCATGGTTGAGGGCGAGTAAAGTTGTGATGGTTGTGGGTGAGTAATGTTGTCATGGTTGTGGGCGAGTAAAGTTGTGATGGTTGTGGGTGAGTAATGTTGTCATGGTTGTGGGTGAGTAATGTTGTCATGGTTGTGGGTGAGTAATGTTGTCATGGTTATAATGTTGTGGTGGTTGTACTAGAAAATAATATAGAGTTTAACGAAGATAAATTCCAGCTGATGCGCTACGGAAAAAAAATAAAAATAAAAACAAACCACGTACAAAACTCAGGCAAATCATAACAGAACGGAAAGGCAATGTAAAGGATCTGGGTGTACTCATGTGGGAAGACCTTACCTTTAAAGAACACAATAAAGTAGCCGTCACAACTGCAAGAAAAATGACAGGTTGGATAACAAGAACCTTTCAAACTAGAGATGCTATACCGATGATGATACTCTTCAAGACGCTAGTGCTCTCTAGAGTGGAGTACTGCTGCACAATGACAGCCCCTTTCAAAGCTGGAGAAATTGCTGACCTGGAGAGCGTGCAGAGGGCCTTTACTACTAGCATCCACTCAGTAAAACGTCTAAACTATTGGGACCGACTAAAGCGCCTAAATCTGTATTCTCTTGAGCGCAGGTGGGAGAGATACATAATAATTTACACATGGAAAATACTAGAGGGGCTGGTCCCAAACCTGCACACAGAAATAACAGCACATGAGACCAGAAGACATGGCAGGATGTGCAGAATACCCCCGTTGAAGAGCAGAGGTGCAACAGGTACTCTGAGAACTCTACCACCAGCTGGCTGCCTGGTCTTGGACACAACTGAGCCGCCAGCTGGCTGCCTGGTCTTGGACACAACTGAGCCACCAGCTGGCTGCCTGGTCTTGGACACAACTGAGCCACCAGCTGGCTGCCTGGTCTTGGACACAACTGAGTCACCAGCTGGTCCCAAACCTGCACACAGAAATAGCATCACATGAGACCAGAAGACATGGCAGGATGTGCAGAATACCCCCGTTGAAGAGCAGAGGTGCAACAGGTACTCTGAGAACTCTACCACCAGCTTCTTGGACACAACTGAGCCACCAGCTGGCTGCCTGGTCTTGGACACAACTGAGCCACCAGCTGGCTGCCTGGTCTTGGACACAACTGAGCCACCAGCTGGCTGCCTGGTCTTGGACACAACTGAGCCACCAGCTGGCTGCCTGGTCTTGGACACAACTGAGCCACCAGCTGGCTGCCTGGTCTTGGACACAACTGAGCCACCAGCTGGCTGCCTGGTCTTGGACACAACTGAGCCACCAGCTGGCTGCCTGGTCTTGGACCCAACTAAGCCACCAGCTGGCTACCTGGTCTTGGACACAACTGAGCCACCAGCTGGCTGCCTGGTCTTGGACACAACTGAGCCGCCAGCTGGCTGCCTGGTCTTGGACACAACTGAGCCACCAGCTGGCTGCCTGGTCTTGGACACAACTGAGCCACCAGCTGGCTGCCTGGTCTTGGACACAACTGAGTCACCAGCTGGCTGCCTGGTCTTGAACACAACTGAGTCACCAGCTGGCTGCCTGGTCTTGGACACAACTGAGCCACCAGCTGGCTGCCTGATCTTGGACACAACTGAGCCACCAGCTGGCTGCCTGGTCTTGGACACAACTGAGCCACCAGCTGGCTGCCTGGTCTTGGACACAACTGAGCCGCCAGCTGGCTGCCTGGTCTTGGACACAACTGAGTCACCAGCTGGCTGCCTGGTCTTGAACACAACTGAGTCACCAGCTGGCTGCCTGGTCTTGGACACAACTGACGACGCAGCTGGCTGCCTGGTCTTGGACACAACTGACGACGCAGCTGGCTGAGCCGGCAGCTGGTGGAGACATCTAGGGGCGCCAGGAGGTAAAAAAGTGTAACTGTTTATGTCAGTGGGAAGAGAAGGCACCTGCAGCTGGCTCTAAAATAACCCTTATCGCCGGTGTTCTGCGGCTGGGGGCGAGAGGGTGATAAACCACGCGGTTCTTTACGACCTTTACTGTGTCAGGATCACCTCTATAATAAGCCTTAAGGCTTTTCTTTAAGGCTATTACTTCATTTATTATGCATCCCCCCATACCCACCCTTTGTGGACGGTAGTGGGCCCCCATACCCACCCTGTGGACGGTAGTGGGCCCACATACCCACCCTGTGGACGGTAGTGGGCCTCCATACCCACCCTGTGGACGGTAGTGGGCCCCCATACCCACCCTGTGGACGGTAGTGGGCCCCCACCCCCTTTGTGGACGGTAGTGGGCCCCCATACCCACCCTGTGGACGGTAGTGGGCCACATACCCACCCTGTGGACGGTAGTGGGCCCCCATACCCACCCTGTCGACGGTGTTGGGCCCATACCCACCCTGTGGACGGTAGTGGGCCCCCATTCCCACCCTGTGGGCGGTAGTGGGCCCATACCCACCCTGTGGACGGTGGTGGGCCACATACCCACCCTGTAGACGGTAGTGGGCCCCCATACCCACCCTGTGGACGGTAGTGGGCCCCCATTCCCACCCTGTGGACGGTAGTGGGCCCCCATTCCCACCCTGTGGACGGTAGTGGGCCCCCATACCCACCCTGTGGACGGTAGTGGGCCCCCATACCCACCCTGTGGACGGTAGTGGGCCCCCATACCCACCCTGTGGACGGTAGTGGGCCCCCATACCCACCCTGTGGACGGTAGTGGGCCCCCATACCCACCCTGTGGACAGTAGTGGGCCCCCATACCCACCCTGTGGACGGTAGTGGGCCCCCATACCCACCCTGTGGACGGTAGTGGCCCCACATACCCACCCTGTGGACGGTAGTGGGCCCCCATACCCACCCTGTGGACGGTAGGGCCCCACATACCCACTCTGTGGACGGTAGTGGGCCCCCATACCCACCCTGTGGACGGTAGGGCCCCACATACCCACCCTGTGGACGGTAGTGGGCCCCCATACACACCCTGTGGACGGTAGGGCCCCACATACCCACCCTGTGGACGGTAGTGGGCCCCTATACCCACCCTGTGGACGGTAGGGTGCCACATACCCACCCTGTGGACGGTAGGGCCCCACATACCCACCCTGTGGACGGTAGTGGGCCCCTATACCCACCCTGTGGACGGTAGGGTGCCACATACCCACCCTGTGGACGGTAGGGCCCCACATACCCACCCTGTGGACGGTAGTGGGCCCCTATACCCACCCTGTGGACGGTAGGGTGCCACATACCCACCCTGTGGACGGTAGGGCCCCACATACCCACCCTGTGGACGGTAGTGGGCCCCTATACCCACCCTGTGGACGGTAGGGTGCCCCATACCCACCCTGTGGACGGTAGTGGGCCCCTATACCCACCCTGTGGACGGTAGGGTGCCACATACCCACCCTGTGGACGGTAGGGCCCCACATACCCACCCTGTGGACGGTAGTGGGCCCCCATACCCACCCTGTGGACGGTAGTGGGCCCCACATACCCACCCTGTGGACGGTAGTGGGCCCCCATACCCACCCTGTGGACGGTAGGGCCCCTATACCCACCCTGTGGACGGTAGGGCCCCTATACCCACCCTGTGGACGGTAGGGTGCCACATACCCACCCTGTATGACAGACTGATATGAGAAACCGTCACCACAATAATGAATAACATTCCTGAAGCACAGAGGCTTCCATGCACACAACAACTACCAGAAATATATGGAGATTGTGTGAACACAGCAACGACCACGGAACACACACCAGGGACTGAGAGTTTAGAGAGCCAAATTAGCAATGTGGAAGGACGTGTCGAGGTACACGAAAATGACGGTAATATGGAAGAACAAACCGGTAATATAAATAATGACAGTAATACTGAGAAAGATGAGAGCATAAATGAGAAAGATGATGGCAATACTGAGAAAGATGAGAGCATAAATGAGAAAGATGATGGCAATACTGAGAAAGATGAGAGCATAAATGAGAAAGATGATGGCAATACTGAGAAAGAATGCAGAAACGAAAAAGATAGGACAAAAAACACAGACTACTCCAAAATAGAGGTAACCAAGGCATGGACTGGTATAAACAGCCTGAATAAAATCACAGCTGAAAATATTTGCAGACATTATGGAAAAGGAAAGTGCAGATATGGGACCAGAGGCACTGAATGCCTATTCATTCATCCCCGTAAATGCGGAAACAAGTTAGGGAGGGGTAGATGTCGTTTTGGAACAGAGTGCAGATATTTCCACCCTAATCCATGTAAACTCAGTTAATGAGAGGAAATGCTATGATCTTCAGTGCCCTGATCTCCACGTGAGAGGTACACAACGCTATACAAGAGAGGAAGTCCAATAAAATAGCCCTGGAAGTTTTTAGGGGGAGGCAGAAACGTTGCAGGAGTACGAATGGAGAGAGGGAATGCCCAAGACTGGACTAAAATTCATCAAGCCCACACATACTGCACCCCCACCTACACAGAAACTACCACACTCCCCAGTACCATTACCAAAACTGGACAAACCATTGCCACAACAGCACACCCTGGGTCGGGGTGGAGAGAGAGAACTATCAAAACCCTCCAGAAGTGACACACAATATGGAAAATCTTTCATATTTGCAAATATACAAGGCCTAAAGTCAAAATCAAGAAATATAGTTCATGAATGAATGACCTATTAAAAGTCAAACTCAATATTTGGGGAATGCATGGAAACTCATACAAAAAATTACATGAATAGTGAAATCTTGTTTCCAAGTTATAATATCATATAGATGTGACAGAGGATTTAATTCAAATGGAGGAGTAGGTCTGTATATTAAAGAGACTCTGGTATGCACAGAGCTACTTAACTAATGAGGTGGTAGAGGAACATGGAATCAAGATATAAAAAATAAACCTAATTATTATTCTAATATATAAACCGCCAGATACAACGGTTGGTGGGAATGACTGATAAAGTAGGACACTGGATACTCAGTTTTCTGTTAAACAGAACACAAAGAATAACAGTTAACCATATAAAGTCGGCTGCGAGTCGAAGCGCAGTTAAAAGCTCTGTACCTCAGAGTGCAGTCTTTGCACCGCTGCTCTTCCTTACTCTCATATCAGATATAGATAAAAATACAAATCACAGCTTCGTATTATCCTTTGCAGATGAAAAAATCAGCATGAAAATTACCTCTGCTGAAGACATTGAAAAACTACAAGCAGATATTAATAAAGTTTTCGAGTTCAAACAGATATTAATAAAGTCAAGTTAAACTCAGCGTCTTCTCGATACACCAATGCTCGCCCGGAATCGCAATTGTGACTATATTGTTAAGAAATCTTATAGAGTGAAAAGTCTGTGAATCTCCAGAGCAAAACAGACTGGTATCAGGTAATCTCTGGTGACAAATTGAGATGGTCTGTGAGTGACCTAGAGTGAACTAAGGTAGTGCCGCCGCCTAAGTAATCTGTGTGTGACTTTACCACACAACCCGTTCTCGCAAATTTAATAAGTCAATATTGACTTATTAAATATGTGCATACCACAGTGTACCTGTATGGTGCCTTGTAATCAGCCGCCGCCACCCGCCCTGCCTCACTGTACTACGTGATGTTACCACCCGTCACCACCTTACTCACCGCCAGTGCCATCAAGTGTGTGTGTGTGTGTGTGTGTGTGTGTGTGTGTGTGTGTGTGTGTGTGTGTGTGTGTGTGTGTGTGTGTGTGTGTGTGTGTGTGTGTGTGTGTGAGATATACAGCACGCCCTCCTGCGAGTATCCTCCGTGTCAAGTACGGTTTGTTGGGAAAGCCTGTCGTCAATGGTCTCACGTTGTAACGAGCGAAACCAGCTGTCAGGCCACCTACGAGTTCTAGCATAAATGTGCCTGAGTGAGTGAATGGGAGAGGTCCTGTAAGTACAAGATCTTGTCTTTTATTATTGTCTGTGTGTTTGTGTGTTGATCTGAGGGACCAACAGTTCACAGTTCATCACCGGTCCTCGACCAGGCCTACCTGACACAGGATGTCCAGCGTGCTGTCCGCTCGGCCGACCGGCTCCCTGTAGGTGGAGACCGAGACACCTGACGGTGTATGCGTGTTTATCTGTGTGGTACCACGACATTACACTCGTCTGTGAATGTGAGTTTCACATACACCACACATTTAGTTATTGTGTGACACTATTATTGTGCATGATTATTGCCTGTTCCATTGACAGTGCCATTGTGATTTATTGTGCATCATTACCCGAGTATCCTGTTGGAACTCCTGTGATCCCTTTGCACACCGGCAGTTAGGTTTGCCGTGTTAATGATTGGCTGTCAATTGTGTTAAGTTAGGTGTTTCTTCACGAGTGGATCAGAATCGATTAGTCAGACGTCAAGAGTCTCGCTAATGCAACCATAGCCTTTCTGATGCCAATCTAAAGTAAATCAAGCACCCATTGTATTAGTGGTTAAGTTTGTAAATAAACTATTGTTAAGCTTTATGCAGTGTTTCCGTTGAACCACTTCTGAATACTGCCAACTATTACTTAAACCTTCAGCTCCAGATGTCTTCAACACCGAGTTGCCTATTATTCACTAAACTATAAATGTGATGAGGACCCTAGGAGTCTCTTCAAGTGTTTCAAGCATTGAGGAGATTCCAACGACCAACGTGGATCAGGACCAGGTGAGGCTAGTCTGAGAAGAGACCCTCAAGGACTCTAACTCGACCTTGCTCCCAGGCCCTGTACGGTTGCTCTCGTATTTTCTCTGCTGGATTCCTACAGCTTCGTGAAGCGTCTGCCACATGTACACTGGTGACGTACGCATTACAGTCGGGAAAGCAAAAAAGAAAACCCCCCACATCCAGGTATTTAGGTATGGTGGAAACGAGGAACTTAAACGAAACACACAGGGTACACGAGACACAATCAGACATACTCATAGAAAGAAAGCATGTAAAAGATCTGGGAATTATGGTATCTGACGACCTGACATTAGGTAAACATAACCGAGCAAATATAGCGGCGGCCAGGAAAATGATTGTGATGACAGATGTGTGGCGGGTGTTGCAGGGTAGTGTGATGACCGATGTGTGGCGGGTGTTGCAGGGTAGTGTGATGACAGATGTGAGGCGGGTGTTGCAGGGTAGTGTGATGACAGATGTGTGGCGGGTGTTGCAGGGTAGTGTGATGACAGATGTGTGGCGGGTGTTGCAGGGTAGTGTGATGACAGATGTGTGGCTGGTGTTGCAGGGTAGTGTGATGACAGATGTGTGGCGGGTGTTGCAGGGTAGTGTGATGACAGATGTGTGGCGGGTGTTGCAGGGTAGTGTGATGACAGATGTGTGGCGGGTGTTGCAGGGTAGTGTGATGACATGTGTGGCGGGTGTTGTTGCAGGGTAGTGTGATGACATGTGTGTGGCGGGTGTTGCAGGGTAGTGTGATGACATGTGTGTGGCTGGTGTTGCAGGGTAGTGTGATGACATGTGTGGCAGGTGTTGTTGCAGGGTAGTGTGATGACATGTGTGGCGGGTGTTGTTGCAGGGTAGTGTGATGACAGGTGTGTGGCGGGTGTTGCAGGGTAGTGTGATGACATGTGTGTGGCTGGTGTTGCAGGGTAGTGTGATGACAGATGTGTGGCGGGTGTTGCAGGTTAGTGTGATGACAGATGTGTGGCGGGTGTTGCAGGGTAGTGTGATGACAGATGTGTGGCTGGTGTTGGAGGGCAGTGTGATGACAGGTGTGTGGCTGGTGTTGGAGGGCAGTGTGATGACAGATGTGTGGCTGGTGTTGGAGGGCAGTGTGATGACAGATGTGTGGCTGGTGTTGGAGGGCAGTGTGATGACAGATGTGTGGCTGGTGTTGGAGGGTAGTGTGATGACAGGTGTGTGGCTGGTGTTGGAGGGTAGTGTGATGACAGCAACAGCCAGCGTACACTTCACACGACCCTCAGGGGATCAGGTCTGGGATAACCCTTAACACTGGTGTCTGGGTGCTGGGTGCTGGAGAGTGGTGACCCACACCACCCTTAAGGGATCACGGCGCAGGTTTAATTTATTAATCACCATTCCTCATACTTCCTGCATCATACTTGTACGCTGGGAATTATGTTGTTGTATTTACAATTATTATACGTTTGTTTACTAATGAGAATTTCAGCTTTATGTGTAACGCTAAAAGTATATGTGCTGTACGCTTACCACTTTGTGAGAAGGGCTAGAAAATAGTAGAGGGGCTGGTCCCATACCTGCACACAGAAATAACACCACATGAGACCAGAAGACATGGCAGGATGTGCAGAATTCCCCCGTTGAAGAGCAGAGGTGCAACAGGTACTCTGAGAGAGAACTCTTATCAACATCAGAAGCCGGAGATTGTTCAACACGCTTCCGCTACACATAAAGGGCATAACTGTGACTCATACGTCAGGCTGGGAGTTCATATCCTGGCCGGGGAGGATTGACTAGGCGCCAATCCTTCACTTTAGCCTCTGTTCACCCAGCAGTGAATGGGTACCTGGTTATTAAACCATTTGGCGGGTCGTATTCCGGGGAAAATTAAGATTAAGGACTTGCCGGAGACGCTATGCGTGCTAGTGGGTGTACAACAATGTAAGAACGCTTGTGTATATAACCAAAAAGTGTGCTAGGCACCAAGATGATGTCATGATGATTGTCAAGAGCGGGTTGGCTGGAGGGACTCGCACTGATAAGTCTGGACTAAACCCTACGACCGCTGGGTTGGGGTCCCCCGGGGTGTCCGCCGCCGCCAGTCCACACAGGAAGTCCACCAAGCTCCCTATCGCCAGTCCTGAACAAATAAAGATAAGTGGCAACGTCCGTTACTTTTACGACTTGCGTCCGAAGGTCGTTGTTTGTGCGGAAGACAGGAGGCAGCTGGCCGCTGACCCGGGGGGGGGGGGGAAGGTGACCCGGGGTGGAGGGTGACCAGGGGTGGACGGTGACCCGGGGTGGACGGTGACCAGGGGTGGACGGTGACCAGGGGTGGACGGTGACCAGGGGTGGACGGTGACCAGGGGTGGACGGTGACCAGGGGTGGACGGTGACCCGGGGTGGACGGT